TGTCTAAATGGAGTAGAAAGAAACTGCACCAGTTTGCAAATGAGATAGTGGCAATTGTTAATTCAAAGCACCTTCCTCTCTATCCAGGTTTTAACTTTAAGCATCTAAATCCTTGTAAAATTGGAGCCAAAGTGATTTATTAGTTTAGTATGGTTCAGCAATGTGGGTTTTGCCCACATACTCAGGGTCTAACAGATTGCCATATTTGGGATAGGGAAGGAATTTTGCCAGAGACCCTGAGAGATTTTTGCCTTCCTCTGAAGCATAGGGCACGGGTCACTTGCAGGTTGCAACTAGTGTAAATGGTGAATTCTCTGTAACTTGAAGTCTTTAAACCGTGATTTGAGGATGTCAGTAATTCAGCCAGCGGTTAGGGTTCTCTTACAGGAGTGGATGGGTGAGATTCTGTGGCCTGCAATGTGCAGGAGGTCAGACTAGATGATCATGATCGTCCCTTCTGGCCTTAAAGTCTATGAATCTCTGAACAATGTCAGGTTCCCATACGTGTGTGAGAGAGTATATTATAAAAACATAAGACTAACCATATTGGGTCAGAAAAATGGTCCATCTAGCCCAGTATCCTGTCTTGCAACAGTTGCCAGTGCCAGATGCATTAGAGGGAATGAACAGGGCAATTGCAGAGTGATCCAACCCCTGTCATTCAATCCGAGCTTCTGGAAGCCAGAGGTTTAGAGGTGTGTAGAGCATGGGGCCATGTCCCTGACCATCTTGGCTAATATCCATTGATGGATCTATGCTCCGTGAACTTATCCAGTTCTTTTTTAAACCCTGTTATGCTTTGGGCCTTCACAACATCCCTGGCAACAAGTTCCACAGGTTGACACTGTGCGTTGTGTGAAGTACTTCCTTCTGTTTGTTTTGAACTTGCAGCATATTCATTTCATTGGGTGACCCCTGGTTCGTGTGTTGTGTGAAGGAGTAAATAACACTTGCATATTTGCTTTCTCCAAGCTATTAATGATTTTAGAGACTTCTATCATATTCTCCCCCCCACCATAATCTTCTCTTTTCTAAGATGAACGGTCCCAGTCCTTTTATTCTCTCCTCATATGGAAGTTGTCCGTATTCCTAATGATTTTTGTTGCCCTTCTTTGTTCTAATTCTAATACAGACGCGCCCCCCCCCCCCCCCCCCCCGAGTTACGCAATTGTTCCGTTCCAGAAAGCCTTGCGTAACTCAAATTTTGGGTAAGTCGGAAACGTATACCCGTACGTTATGCAAAAATTTCCGCAACTTGAAAATCCTATTTCTGGCTTATGGAACTTTTTCCGTAAGTGCGAATTTGCGTAAGTCGGGTCTTGCATAACCCGGGAAGTGTCTGTATCTTTTTTGAGATAGGGCAATCATAACTGCACACAGTATTCAAGGTGTGGGCATACTGTGGATTTATATAGTGGCACTATGATATTTTCTGTCTTATTGTCTATCCTTTACCTAATGGTTCCTAATATTCAGTTAGCTTTTTTGACTGCTGCTGCACTGTGAGCAGATGTTTTCAGAGAACTCTCCACAGTGCTCCAAGATCTTCCTTGAGTGGCCACAGCTAATTTAGACCCCATCATTTTGTGTGCATAGTTGGGATTATGCTTTTCAATGTGCAGTATTTTGCACTTATCAACATTGAATTTCATCTGCCATTTTGTTGCCCAGTCACTCAGTTTTCTGCAATCCCTTTGTAACTCTTTGCAGTCAGTTTTGGACTTAACTATTTTGTATAATTTAATCTCGTCTGCTAACTTTATCACCTCCCTGTTAACCGCCTTTTCCAGACAATTTATGAACAAGTTGAACAGCACTGGGCCCTATACAGATGCTTGGTGGACCCTGCTGTTTATCACTTTGCATTGTGAAAAAAGACAGTTTATTCCTACCCTTTGTTTCCTATCTTTTAATTAGTTGCTGATCCATGAGAGGACCTTCCCTTTTATCGCATAACTCCTCACTTTGCTTAAGAGCCTTTGATAAGGGACCCTGTCGAAGGCTTTCTGAAAGTTCTAGTACATATATCCATTGGATCACCTTTGTCCATATATTTGTTGGCACCCTCAAAGAATAGTAATAAATTGTGAGGCATGATTTCTCTTTACAAACGCAGTGTTGACTCTTCCCCAACATATCATGTTCATCTGTGTGTGTGATAATACTGTTCTTTAGTTTCAACCAGTTTTTCTGGTACTGAAGTTATTCTTACAGTCCTGTAATTGCCAGGATTGCCTCTGGAGCCTTTTTAAAAAATTGGCATTACATTAGTGGTCTTCCAGTCATCTCGTACAAAGGCTGATTTATCTGCTAGGTTACATACCATAGTTGTTAGTTCTGCAGTTCCATATTTGAATTCCTTCAGAGCTCTTGGGTGAATACCATCAGGTCCTGGTGATTTATTACTGTTTAATTTATCAATTTGTTCCAAAACCACCACCTCTTGATACCTCAATCTGAGACAATTCCTCAGATTTGTCTAAAAAGAATTGGTCTGGCGTGGGAATCTCCCTTACATCCTCTGCAGTGAAGACCTATGCAAAAAATTCATTTAGCTTCTCTGCAATGGCCTTGTCTTCCCTGATTGCTTCTTTAGCACCTCAGTCATCCAGTTGTCTCACTTACTGTTTGGTAAGCTTCATGCTTCTGATATACTTAATTTTTTTTGCAAGTTGCTCTTGAAATTCTTTTTTTGGCCTGCTTAATTATACTTTTTATAATTTATAATTAATTTAAATACACCTCTACCCCGATACAACACGAATTCGGATATAACGCGGGAAAAGCAGCAGTCCAGGGGGCGGGGCTGCGCACTCCGGTGGATCAAAGCAAGTTCAATATAACACGGTTTCACCTATAACGTGGTAAGATTTTTTTGGCTCCCGAGGACAGCGTTATATTGGGGTAGAGGTGTATAATTTATATATTGACTTGCAAGAGTTTATGCTTCTTTCTGTTTTCCTCAGTAGAATTTGACTTCCAATTTGTAAGGGATGCCTTTTTGCCTCTAATAACCTCTATTACTCTTCTATTTAGCCACCGTGATAATTTTTTTTGGTCATCTTCCTGGGGTTTTTTTGTTTGGGGGATACACCCCTATTATGGTGTTTTTAAATAGTTTCCTGGCAGCTCACAGGCATGTCACACTCTTGTGACTGTTCTTTTTAATTTCTGTTTAACTAGCTTCATTTTTGTGTTCCCCTTGTTGAAGTTAAATGTTACTATGGTGGGTTTCTTTGGTATTTCCACCCTACAAAGATGTTACAGTGGAAGTACATTATGATTGCTATTGCCGAGTGGTTCAGCTATACTCACCTTTTGGACTAGATCCTGTGCTCCCCTTCAGACTGCATGTGCGCGCACCTGAGAGAGAGAACTTTAGACTGCCAAACACATCTCTTTACTCACTTTTATGTACAACATAACTTGCTTTAAAATCCTTTGTCTTTACCATCACTTGGAATCCAATTTGTGATACCAAGCTGCATGTGAAGAGTATAGTCCAGGTATATTGCAATACAGGACCCTTGATATTAAGGATTATGAGAGTCTGGCCGCTTTTAAAATTTTTCTATATGTCTACTATCAGAAATAGGTTTGGTTTTGTTTGTTTGTTTTTTAAAGGTAAATGTGTAGTTTCTAGGAGAGAAACTGACTGCTGAAATATACTGGGCTAATAAATCACTTAGGTCCCCCCCACACTTGCAGAACCTTACACACATTCCTGAAGTCAAGCACATGAGCAAAGTCTTTGCAGGATCAAGGCCTTAGCATTACCTGAAGAATTCTTCAGAACAATCTTAGGCACATCAACCAGTTGGTAAATGGGTGGCTCACAATTTATTATTTAGTGTTTCACCTTGTTTTTTGAATTCTGAATTAGTCATCATACTAATAGCTATAGCTTGCCTCACACCTGTCTTTTTAAGAACTGGTAACATGAATTTTCACTCCTTGTAATTAAGAAATAAAATTCCCTTTGCCTTTAGGAATATTGACTGTCCTTTATCCCATCCAGTCATTTGTGTACTAAGTCTAAACTTTTGGTGATTGCGGTTTTTGGATTATTTGTATTACAGTAGCACTTACAGGATCCCAGCCACCATTGGAGGCTCACTGTGGTGTACGCAGTGTGAACAAAAATATTAAAATATATATATTCAGTCTTCAGAAATTAGAAGTGAATGGTCATATTTTAGGCAGTCAGCAAGACCACTTGAAATCGGTGGGGAATTTTATCAAATTCTGTGGACTTTTCTTCTCTCCAGATTTGATTAAACATTTTGAAGATTTCAGGGAAAAAACTCTGCGAGCTTATTTAAAAAACCCTACAAAATATTAAAACATTTTTGAGCAGCTTTAAATAAAATATGGATTTATTTCAATCTTGTCTTAACAAGAAAGACACACCCCTGAGATTTTTTTTTTTTCTCTTTCTGGGTTTCAGTTCCTGTACCCAAGGAGATCTTCCTATTCCTCTAGGCTTTTTCTTGCTTGTCCCTCTTAGACTCCTAAATTGAGTACCAAACCTTGTCAAAATTAAATGAGCATTTTTTAAAGACTTGAAACCATGTTCCTTTGAGAGATCTTTCAAATGATTGTAACTATAATCCTTAAAGCACACTAGCTGGGCATTTGTTCTAAAATCTTAAGCAGTAAAATCATTAGCAATTGTTGACATTTTACATGTCTGTCATTGTTTTAGAGGTAATATTTAATGGAATTGTATGGGACAATTAATACCCCCCCCTAGAAGTATTATTGTATCACTTCAAATTTGGAAGGTTATCCTTACAACACACAGGGGGAAAAAAAGTCTGCAGAAAAGTTGAAATACCAGAAATCCACACACTCTGAATCTGCCCTATAGCATGGAATTTGTGTTTTATATATTTATAATGGACCGTCAGACTAGTCCTCAGCTACAAAGCTGAAATGTTTTGGAGCTTTCTTGGAGTTACTTAAGCCTATTGGATGTTAACAAGTATGTGTTTTCATAGGTACGTGCACACCAGTTAGTTTTACCACCTTGTGATGTAGTGATCAAGGCTGTAGCTGACTACGTCCGCAATATTCAGGACACCACTGATTTGGATGCCATAGCAAAAGATGTTTTTCAACATTCACAGGTAAAGTAGGGCCGACACAAAAATACATGGGTTTGGTTCAGCTAAAATTGTGTTGTGGATCTTTGTTGAGAACAAATAAAGTTTATATTTCTTGTGTGTATATATAATGTGTTGATTGCCAAAACTTAGTATTCACTGTTTTGAAAAGAAATACACTGTCCTTGTCTGCACTTAACAGTTGGGTACATGATTACTGAAATGACACTACATTCTTTCCACCTTGCCTTTTAGCTTTATTTATGTTCATTGTCATTATGAGCCCATTCTTATAAAGTTTGCTTTTCTAAGCTCGAAATATGCTTTGTTCCTATGGTGATTGTTAATAAAAGTGGATCTTATATCCACTCAATCACCATGATGATTATTAAAAATAATTCTCTGTACCAGTGTGCCATAGTAAGATATTAGTTTGTTGATCCATAGATAATAAATTTATTTTTATATGATGTAGCATAGATAAGCATGTTACAATATTATGCCATGATGTATAGGTCACATGGGTATATTTGTTTACAAAGCCTATTTTACTTTTTATTTTAGTCTAGAACCGAAGACAAAGTTACTCGATTTAAGAGAGCAGTTGCATATTATTCAGCAACTAATAAACCTATGCCATTTCATCCACCACATTACCTAGGTAAGTAACAAAAGTCTGTTTATAAGAAAATTGGTGGAGATAATCCTAAATAAAAGATAGCGATGTTGAGGAGGTTGTCTTTATATTCATTACCTCTATTTTTTTTATCAGATTACCTTTAAAAACCCAGTATTCACTGCAGTGTTTTCATTTCTTTTAAAATAGGGTAAACAGATAGGTTGAGCTCATTCCCCAAATTGAGTTTCCATTACAACACCACCACCAATTGTCTTTCATCCTAAACAGTGCCTAATTAATTTCTGTGTTGGGAATCCGGATACGTAAACAGTTAACAAGTGAAAACTGGTCAGCAACTTCAGCAAGAAAATAGGTGTACTATACTTTTTTCACAAAACAGAGTTCTTGCTTCTCCCAAGTTTTTTCTGAGAGAGATTCCTCCATTGTATACATGAGGAAATAAAAACACTGAAATTACATGTTTCACAGACGTGATAGTTCATAGTTTAAGTTAACTGTTACCACCAGAGCTTAAATATGCAAATGCTAAATGTGACCAAACTATTGTAGTAACTTGGAAACTGTTTCCTCCCAGCTTACTGTATGTCCTTTGTTATAAATGAAGGGCTAGACTAAAAGTATATTAAGGTTGCATGGTCAGGTACTCAGAAGTTTACTTGAGCTCAGATACGTTGTGCATTTTTTATCTCTTGGTGCTGCAGGCTGAATGGCGTTGGTAGTCACATGCTACTACAACTCTTCCTTGCAACCCTGACTTGGCTCTGTCCCCATTTATCTACCTTCATTCCTTCTTCCTTGTGCAGTTAACACCCTGGCACTGTGGTCTCCATCCTGCCCTCTGAGTTGCCACTACTTTTGGACTTCTCGCCACTTTGGGGCTCCTGAACACTAACTCATCTGAAACAGAACCTGTTTTAAGTCCCCCAAGACTTGCATTAGGGTTAAAATAGCTGAGTGTTTTTCAGTCTGTCAGTTGGTGCCATCTCAACTCGCAATTATAGTTCTTGTCACTGATTTTCCTGTTCTGCTAACCCTAATTACCCAATCCATGTTGGGTAAGTTGCAAGCCCAGGCTGGTATGGAGGGAAGATAGTGAGTGCAAGGGAAGCTCTAAGGAGAGGAAGAAGGTGATGTCCAGATAGTTTTCATATTACAGTATACTAACTAGCTTGCATCTTTCTGAGGAAGATGTAAATAAGATTGTTTCTGCTTAACAAAGACAGCATGCTGCTACTGTCTGACAGTGTTTTTTCTCTTTTGAATTCTTGTTGGACAGCCAGTATTCTTATAGTTAGTGTCTAGAAACTTCAAGTTCCACTACTTCTGCTGTATTCTAGTGGAAATGCAATATGTTGAGAATGTCAAGCCACTTGCACTGAAGGGTTGTGTGGATTGAGTTCTAGATGTGATGGGATTTGGAGAATAAAAGTAGGCAGAATGACGAGAGCGAAATGGAATCAAAATAGAGAGAAACCAAAACAAGTTAAAATTCACTTGACAAACTACAGAGTTGGAGAGAGAATTATATAATAAAAAAGCAGAAATGCGCTTAGAATGGTAAAAATAGACACACGGGAATAAAACAAGAGCAAATAAACTGTAAGGGCAAAATATATAAATAAATTAAAATAACCAGGTCAAGTGTAAAACTCAGTGAGGTTTGATTTTTTTTAACATATAGATTAGTTACTTACAATACACATTGGACAACTGTGTTTTGACCAGACTGCATGTGTGGGGATGAGTATATAAAATGAGTACTATTGTGTTTTTTCCCATTTTTATTTCCACTCCTTTCCCCCCATTTGCTAATTAAACAGCCAGACCAAATCAGTTTGGGATGCCTGGGATAGTGCCACCGTATGTTCCTTCTCAGATGCTCAACATTCCACAGACCTCTCTACAAGCAAAACCTGTGGCAAGTATTTTCTTCTGCTTTTCTTGACTTAATAACTGTTAGAAATGTGGTCTGCTAGACTCATGAAAATCTAGATAAGGAGATAAAAACCTAGTCTGCTTTTCACAACCAGAGTTGATTGATAAAACTCATCTTGTAACTGCAGTGACTTGGCAGACTCCAATGAAAGCATTTCTCGTGAGCAGTCTGGAAGGCTGAACTCAGACGTTAAAAAAAATAGTCTATTTAAATAACAGAATTCATATTATAACATCAATCTTTTTGTTGTTACCTTTGTTTTTTTTTTTTTTTTTTTTTTTAAATAAAATTGTATTAGGCCCCACAGATGTCCAGTCAGGGTGGAGCCCAAGGTCCGGGTCCATACCCATATAATCTCTCGGAGCCAGCCATCACCTTGGAAGCAGGTGGGAAAAGTCTTTCTGAGCAGAACAACTACAGTAACATTCCTCATGAAGGAAAACATACTCCATTGTATGAACGATCCTCTCCAATAAACCCAGCTCAGAGTGGGAGCCCCAATCATGTGGATTCAACCTATTTTCCTGCCTCTTCTACATCATCTTCCTCTGACAATGATGAAGGCAATGGAGGTGCTGTGAAGTAAGTAATGGATGAGATCATTTCAGTAACACTTTACGTATTTTGAAATATTTATTCATGAGCAGAACCTTTTTCAGTATCCTGTGAGTACAGGGAAAGCTTGAAGGTTACTGACAGAAAAGTTGTACTTTGTTGGGTCACTGTGGCTGCCAATATATCTGTGTACTCTAGCCATTTTTCTAAAAAACAAAAAAACCCCACTACTAGCAGGTTTTTTTACCCCATACTCTTTCATTGTTCCCTAAGAATAAAAATGATGCATTGTGAGATCCTGATAAATGAGAACCTCCTCTCTTCAACTCCACAGTGGAAAAACACCCCAAAGCATTATATATTAGAGTTCTAATAGATAAAAAAAATATAAAACCCTGCTCAACTTACAGTTTTTGCACTTTTATAACTTTGGGAAAATGTAGTCATGCAGTGAAGTTTAGAGTTTATGCAAGGATTAACAATTCTAGAAAGTGACTGATGGCCCTCATCCACAGAACAGATACAGCACAGAGAGTAGCGCTGAAAACTTCCTTGTTCTGCCCTACCATTGTGCCTTATCCCTTGCTTGGAGTGAAAAGGTAATTCAGACTAATTCATATGTTCAGGTTTATACTAGATCATTGGTTCTCAACCAGGGGTTCGCCAGCAGGTTTCAGGGGGTCCGTCAAGCAGGGCCAGCATCAGACTCACTGGGGCCCAGGGCAGAAAGTTGAAGCCCCACTGCGTAGGGCTGAAGCCCAAGGCCCTGAGCCTCACCACCTGGGGCTGAAGCCTGAGCAGCTTAGCTTCATGGGGCCCCAAACAATTGTCCTGTTTGCTACCCCCTAACGCTGGCCCTGGCTTTTATATGCAGAACATCAGTTGTTGTGACACAGGTGGGCTGTGGAGGTTTTATAGCATGCTGGGGGGGAGGGGGGGTGTCAGAAAGAAAAAGGTTGAGAACCCCTGTACTAGATCATATGTCCATTTTGGTAAGACAGTTGTGGAGTCTTTGTTCTTACTGCTTACTGATTTCCAACAGGAGATTTCATAGAATCATAGAATGTCAGGGTTGGAAGGGACCTCAGGAGGTCATTTAGTCCAACCCCCTGCTCAAAGCAGGACCAATCCCCAGACAGATTTTTGCCCCAGATCCCTAAATGGCCTCACAACCCTGGGTTTAGCAGGCCAATGCTCAAACCACTGAGCTCTTCCCCCCCCCCCCCTACTATCTGGGTGTTCTATCTGGGTGTACTATGGGTACTGTCTGCATGTAACCTTAAATAGATGAAGACCTGGTGCGTACACCACGGCACATGACCCTACTTAGTCTAAAGATGCCTTTAGAAGTTCAAATCTGTGGTGCTTAGTATGCAGTTGTGAATGCATCTCTTCATGGCAGTAAATTCTGAGAATGTCTGCAATTAATGGCAATAACCCTAAATTTTATTTTTTGTGATGTAGTTGGTACACACTGGGGATATGTGGACCACATTATGATTGCTTTGCTTAATGAACTATGTACAATTAATTATTCACAATTACAATTTTCAACTTATAAAATTGGTACATCTATGTTAACAAGATATGTACACTAGAAATTTTTTTTCACAATAATGCGATTTGTTTTATGCAGTACATTCTGAATGAATTATGAAATTGGCATCCAGACAATATCACTTATATCACTATGTTTAGAGACAGTCTCTTAAGTGGGAAACTAGTTGGTAAATCGACAGACGTTGGAACTTCATTTAAGATGTTTTTCTACACTAATAGAAGATAAGGTGATAAGTAACAGCATGAATTTGTCAAGAACAAATTATGTCAAATCAAAGTATAGCTTTCTTTGACAAGGTAACAAGCCTCCTGGAGAGGGGGGAAGCAGTAGCTGTGGTATATCTTTAGTAAGGCTTTTGATACTGTTTTGCATGACTCTCTCAAAAACCAACTAGAGAAATACAGCCTAGGTCCTAGATGGAGCTACTATAAGGTGGTACATAACTGGTTGGAAAACCGTTCCCTGAGAGTAGTTCTCAGCGGTTCACAGTCAAGCTGGGAGGGCATAACGAGTGGGGCCTGCAGGGATCGGTCCTGGGTCCAGTTCTGTTCAATATCTTCATCAATGATTTAGTTAATGGCATAGAGAGTACACTTTTATAAAGTTTGTGGACGATACCAACCTGGAAGGGGTTGCAAGTGCTTTGGAAGGTAGGATTAAAATTCAAAATTATCTGAACAAACTGGAGAAATGGTCTGAAGTAAGTAGGATGACATTCAATAAGGACAAATGCAAAGTACTCCACTTAAAAAGGAACAATCAGTTGCACACGTACAAAATGGGAAATGACTGCCTAGGAAGGAGTACTGTGGAAAGGGATCTGATGTCACAGTGGGTCACAGGATAAATATGATTCAACAGTATAATACTGTTTGGGGGTGGGGGGGGGAAAGGCAAATATTCTGGGATGTAATAGCTGGAGTGTTGTAAGCAAGACATGAGAAGTAATTCTTTCGTTCTACTCCATGCTGATATGGCCTCAACTGGAGTATTGTGTCCAGTTCTGGGCACCACATTTCAGGAACGATGTGGACAAACTGGAGAAAGTCTAGATGAGAGCAATAAAAATGATTAAAGGTTTAAAAAAATATGACCTATGAGGGAAGATTGAAAAAAATTGGATTTGTTTAGTCTGGAGAGAAGACTAAGGGGGGGAACATAAGTTTTCAAGTGCATAAAAGGTTGTTACAAGGAGATGGGTGAAAAATTGTTCTTATTAACCTTTGAGGATAGGACAAGAAGAAATGGGTTTAAATTGCAGCAAGGGCAGTTTAGGTAGGACATTAGGAAAAACTTCCTACCTGTCAGGGTGGTTAATTAAGCACTGGAATAAATTGTATAGGAAGGTTGTGGGGTCTCCGTCATTGGAGGTTTTTTAAGAGCAGGTAATGGATGGTCGAGATAATACTTAGTCCTTATAATTATAAAGGAATCTTAAAAGTTTTTAAAAATTACAATCCAAATATTAACAACATTTAATTAATAATTATGGGGATGTTACACTGCTTTCTAGACACTCCTGTATATTGGCATTTCTAATTTATGTGGTGTCTTTTAAAATTAGAGCATTCACTGACTGATAAAAAATAGCTCTAATAAAGCTATTAAGATGCATCTTACATTTTGCACTAAATAGGGTAGTTTTTCTTCTTGTGTATTTATTCAGCCATGTCAGTGGGAACAAAATGAGTTGGGAAAAAACAAGAACACAATCGGAAAACCAAGCACATGGAGGAGACCCAGGAGACCAAACAAAGGTAATACCTTAAGTTCCAAACCTCCACATTTATTGCTACAGCCTTACAAGCATATGGGTAAAACTTCCAAAAGCACCTGTGAGAACTTTAAAAAAAAAAAAAAAAAAAAAAAAGACAAACTGTAATATACAGTGAGAAATGGCTTAAAATATGTTATGATATGCGTACGAAATTGTAAACTCAGTAGACTAGCTCACCCTGTCATTCTTGGATATTTCTGCACATTTCATATACACGATAATATACTGTGTTGATTTCAATATGAATGCCTTTAGTAGTCTTAATGTAGCATCTACAGGATGTTTGCTATGTCCCTCAAGCTCTGCATGGTCTATTTGTTGAGAGCAGTTCCATTATGGATGTTTGAAGGTAGGGCAAAAATGCACAACTCAGAGCTGTGTAGTCATTATTATCAATTAATGTATGAGAATTCAAAGGTGGAAAAAATACTATTACTTATCAGAGATTTTACTTTTACAAATGGTTGAGATGAATTTCACAATGAATAGTAAAGTAATTCTATGAGTTTGAATGGAACTACTTAATGTAAGGATGGTACAGTTAATACCTTAAGAATTCAACATTGATTTAAAATTGTGCTAGTAAAAAGTAAGTGCCAAAACCATTGTCAATTTGAAGGACATCATTCCAGACATGCCAAGTTTCAACTACATTTCAGTGAAAATGCACACGTTTTATACCTCCAATATAAGCCAAGTTTATAATAGAGATGAAGGCTAGCCATTAATTTATTCTCAGGCAAAAAATATAATAGAAATAAAGCCAAACCAAAGTTTGGAGTTATGGTGGAAAGACCTTTTTTCTTAGCTATAAACCCTTTTGAGAATGTGTTAGTTTCCCCCTCCCCCAAAATAAAATAAAAGTTTTTAATCTGGAAATTCCAGTCAGATAACACCTTGGATCTGTCCCTATAGTGCTAACCTGATAACAGTCAGAAACAGACCACACCCATCCATACGTATCCCTGCAAGCCACTCCCTGTGTGATAGCCATCTGCATGTGGACCATTCACAATTTGCAGAATGTACATAGGGCCATACAATTTGCAAAGTATGCAAAAAACTGGTGAGTAGATAATCAGATGGACATTTTAAAGTATATACTTTGTGTTTCTGTGATAAGTTTTAAATGCGTAATTGCTTCCTTACCCTCCCCTAAACCAGTTAAAAGCAATTGTATTTGTTAGCACTATAGGAAAAGCCAAGTCTAGAGTTTGTAGGTATATTTATTTCACAGAGAAGTAGCCAAAATATTGGAAAAATGTTTGAAAGGTGAAAATATATTTTTAAAGTCTAGTTCCTCTGAAACTTTGTGTGTGTTCAAACTTTCCAGAAGAATTTCACATTGGAATCAGATATGGCATGTGAAGTTTTAAGGTGGATCATTTAGGGAGTTGAAAATCTGGCCTATAACAGAAAGCTAGCACCAACCCTGATGATAATGTTTCCTTTCTCTTATCCTTTGTTTCATTTAGTTAAATTGCAAGCTCTTGGGGTGAGGACTGTCTCACTATGAATTTATCCAGTGCCTGGGACAATGGGCTTCCCATCTCAGTTAGGCCTTTTAGGTATTACAGTAATAAAAATAAATGCTAACAATAATAATACTCCTAACTGTGGAGGTAGTAGTAGTCTCTTGGATACCATTGTGTTGTTTGCAGTGTTGGGTGCATTATGTAGGGTGGTTTGATTTAAATTACTGATTTTAATCGTGTATTGCAATTGTACTTTTTAGTTATTTTCCTGAGAGAGGTTGGTAACCATTAAAACATGTTGGCTTGCAACTAAATATAGCCTGTGTGCTTAATTTGGTTCTGCTTTTTGCTAACCAGGAGGATATATTATGTCTATACACATTTATTTAAGCAATTCTGCAGCTTAATTTACATTTATTCAGATTCTTAATTTTTACATTTCTTACTATGTTAGAAAATGGGGAATGATGCATTTCTTATTTATTAGATTAATTTTTTACTTGTGATGTGTTTCAAGCTCTACCTGGATGGACATTCATATTCAGTTAAAAATGGACAAAACCGCATTTTAATTTTTTAATTAAATAAAACTACCTTAACTGCTGGACACAGAGGGGAAAAATGTTTATCAAAACATGTCTTGCATTTAAAACCGATTCATTAAAAGAGGAAGTATTATCTGTAGTTAGTGAATTGAACTGATTATTTCTGGTAACGATGTCATCAAGACTTTAGAACTAGTAGATTTAATCTTTTCACACCTAGTTTTTATTCATAGATGGGAAGAGGAAAATCAACTTTCCTTCTTTTTCTACTTCCAATTGGTTTCTAAACTTTGAACGAACTGGTCATTGAACTGAACTAGCTGAAATGAAGATGATGGTCTCTCTGTACCTGCAGAAGAGGCTACAGCTGTCAAAAGCTGGTTTAATTCTTCAGCAAACTCTGGTTCCAGGTGTAAGCCATTGACTTCCACCAGTTCAGTGGTGTTACTTTCTTTGGAATTTATCAGCAAATATGTACTCAATATTTTTGTATGTAATGTTTTTAATAGATTATAAGTTTAGGTGTTAACATAGGTTGTCAATGTCAAATTTATTTAAAGAATAAAAATCTGTATTTTTAAAAAAATCAGATTTTTAAAATTTTCTAAACCAATTTTTATACAGCCTGGTAATAACCTAGAATAGTGCAAATACACGAGAGTCTTGTGGTAGTACACTTCTTTTTTTAACTAGATTTCCCCCCCTTCAATAGCAGCACAGTGTTTTGTAAATTCTTATTTATAGTGCCATTTCAGCATCTTTTAAAATCATTTTTAGCGCTACTAGAATTGGGGATAGGAATCTGTTTACAATAATTACATCTAAATAAAAATATACCATAAATATGACACTTTGGTGCTAACTAAGTGTACTTAGAAAAACATTTTATATCTGACAGCTATTGTTTGAAAAAAGTACTATCACAGATTGTTTTGTTCTAACCATTCCTTTAGCCTCTTTGTTTGTTTGTTTGTTTTTAATCTAAATCTGGATTACAGGTGCTCTAAAGTAATCTGAAAGGGGCAGTGCCCACTTGAATTTTTTTGAAATTCCGTGTTCTGAGGGAACACCTTTTTGAATAGTGTGCCTTGACTTCTTTAAAATAAAAAATCCTTAACTTTTTAAGTAAGGATTTGTCTGCTTCCCTTTTGGTATTTAGAAAGATTTGATGGGTGTACCTGGAATTACCTCAAACATGCTGGGGGCCCTGCACACCTTTCTGTGTGTGAAGGGATGTTCACATCTGCAAAACCATGATACTGATAAATCATAAAGTGCTGTCACATGCACAAAGTTAACAAACCTTTGTCTTTCAGTTATAGCAACTTAGGAATTACTTGTTATAGTAGTAGATATCAAATTCAGATGAAAATATGACTTATCGTGTCCTCCTAAATTGAGAGATTACCAGATTGTTGTTAGTGAGATTTTTTGTGGGTTTCTCTGCTTTTACTTTTAAGCATCTCTGAAAGCAGTTATCCAAGTACTTTTTCATTGTTGGATAAGTCCAACAGTATGTCACTTTTGGCTGTAAATCTTAATATTGAATTGAATTTCTAGCAACAGAATTGAATGCTATACTAGCAACTCTTAACCAGAAGAGGTAGCAAAAATCTTGTGCAGCCCTCTTAACACAGGGAACATAATTTCATTCATAATGGGGAAAAAACCATAGGCCCCTCAAGATCAAATCACGTTATGTGGTCGGTGCTTGTATGTTTTCCCATTTTGTTCAAGAAATGAGCAGGGGAAGGTTTTGTCCCCCGTCCTTCTCCACCCCCCCTTTTTTTTCTTTTCTTTTTTTCTTTTTCCCAGGCTGGAGTTGAAGGCCCTTTGTTTTGCCTTTGCCCAACTAGTCAATAACTCCCCAGAAATGTTTATCAGAGGTTGTTATTGCTATACTGGGAAAATATTAATGTAAAGAAAAATTACTACTTTTTAATATGATGAAAAGTTAAAATTTAAACTGCACGATGACATGAATATATCTTGTTTTTAATAATGGTTATTTGCAGGAAAACGAGGACTAGAGTAACCACAGACTAGGAAGAATTTATTTTCAACATTCTGTTACGGTTATAATTTTGATTCACTTATGAATATAAAATCATAGAAAAGTAGGACTGGAAGGGATCTCGAGAGGTCATCTAGTCTAGCCCCCTGCACTGAGACAGGACCAAGTATAGACCATCCCTGGCAGGTGTTTACCTAACCTGTTCTTAAAAACCTCCAATGATGGGGATTCCATAATCTCCCTTGGCAGCTTATTCCAGAACTTAACTATTTTTATAGTTAGAAAGTCTTTCCTAATATCCAAACTAAATCTCTTTAGCTGCAGATTAAGTCCATTACTTCATGTTCTGCCTTAAGTGGACACTGATTTCAGCCCTCTTTGTAACAGCTCTTATCATATTTGAAGACTGTTATCAGGTTCCCCTTCAGTCCTATTTTCTCAGGACTAAATATGCCCAGTTTTTTCACCTTTCTCCTTTGGTCAGGTTTTCTAAACCTTTTATCACTTTTGTTGCTCTCCTGTGGACTCTCAAATTTGTCCACATCTTTCTTAAAAGCGTGGCGCTCAGAATTGGACACAGTACTCCAGCTGAGGCCTCACCAGTGCCAAGGAGAGCAGGGCAATTACCTCCTGAATCTTACATATGACACTTATGTTAATACACCCTAGAATGATACTAGTCTTTTTTGTAACTGCATCATGTTGTGGATCACAAATTGAATATGAGTCGACTATAACTCCCAGATCCTTTTCAGCAGTACTAATGTCTAGACAATTATTCCTCATTTTGTAGTTGTGTGTTTATTTCTTCCTAAGGCTGTCTACACGCTTGTGGCAGCATTTAGAGTACATGCACTATACATGTAGCTAGGTGCCGCTGTGAAAGGCTCAGGCAGCAGGGAAAAGCTCTGATAACTCCCTGCTGCAGGAGCCTTTCTCTGTGACAGGGAAAGGCTCTGGCAGAAGAGAGGCAGCGGGACACTATACTGCTAAAAATAGTGTCCTGGGGATTCAGGCATGTAGGACACTCTACTCTACCTGCCTAAGCCATGCCTCACTGTCTACACTGCTGTTTGTACCCATGCTAGCTGGGTGTGTGGTATCTGTACTCTACATACGGTTGTAAGTGTAGATGTACCTTCAGTGTAGTACTTTACACTGTTCATGTTTGCAGCTTCTGTAGCTGCCTTTGGTAATCCATGCTACATGTTCGCACTTTTGTATAGTCAAAAAAAAAAAAATATGAATGTTTTCATTTGTCGGACAAGGTGGGTGACGTCATATCTTCTATTGGACTGACTTCTGTTGGTGAAAGAGACAGCTATAGCATTTCAAATGTAGACAAGCCAAAGTTTTCAGGCTACACAAAACTCTTCGTCAGATGTGGGAAAGGTACTCAGGGCTTGTCTATACTTAAAATGCTACAGCGGCACAGCTGCACTGCTGCTGCGCTTCAGTGTAGACACCATCTATACTGACAGGAGGGGTTCTCCTGTCGGCATAGGTAATCCACCTCCTCACCAGGCGGTAACTAGGTTTCTTCTATCGACTTAGCACTGTTGACACAGGGACTTAAGTCACCTTACCTGTGTCGCTCAGGTATGGATGTTTCACACACTTGACCAATGTAGTTAAACCGACCTAATTTTCTAGTGTAGACCAGGCCCCAGAGAGTGTCTTTACAGCAAAGAAAAACCCGAGGCTGGCCCGTGTCAGCCAACTTGGGCTCGCAGGGCTATTTCATTGCTTTGTAGACTTATGGCCTGGGGTCTGGACTCTAGGACCCTAGCACCCTGGAAGTTTACACAGCAATGAAATAGCCCCTTGAGCCTGAGTGACATTGCTATGTTGACATACCCAGAGTGTCACAGCTAAATACAAAGTGAAATAGATGGTTTAGCATGAATAGTTAACACATTCTGAGACACCATTCAAGGTGAAGTGGCCTGTAACACCTCTGCAGTCATAGGCCAAAAAAGGGGGCAGGGGGTTGCAGCTTGTTGTAATAAGCCATTAATCTGGTGCCTTTATTAAGGCCATTATTTTTAGTGTCTAGCAAAGTTATCAATTTAAGCTCCCATTGTGGGTGCAGGGAGAGACATGCAAAGTGCCTTTTTTCTGTTAATGTACAAGTTTATTTTTCTATGTAACCAATAAAAGCATGTTTTCTTTTGTATGATGTATTACAGGCAGAAGGTTCTTCGACTGCCTCGTCAGGAAGCCAGGCAGCTGAAGTCAAAGGGAATCAAGCCAGTAGTCCACAAATCCCATGTCTGTTGTCAATGCCCACCAGGAACCATATGGATATTACCACCCCTCCATTGCCTCCTGTAGCACCTGAAGTATTAAGAGTGGCAGAACACAGGCACAAGAAGGGATTAATGTATCCCTACATCTTTCATGTCCTAACCAAGGTATGACTCTCAAACTCAGGTATTGTGAAACAGTGATTCTGTAAAGGTAAACACCTGACCAGACACTATCATGAGGGGGATGCACATTTGCTCCTGCTTAGAGCTCTGGCCTATTAGCACTTCTAACGATTGGTGAAAAAGAAACTCCAGACAGTAGCTCTAGGAGTGAATTGCACAACAGGTGGCTGACCCTCATTGTTAAAACTGCTTACTCACAAAATAGCTGATTTTTTTTTTCTGAATTTTCTCTCTTTTTCCCTTTTCTATTTTAAAAAAGTTTGGTGTGTGTGGTGCTTCTTGAGGCTTTGGCACTTCTGCCACTCTCTCTCTGACATTACCTGTTTCAGAATCGTTTAGATATTTATTTTGACGTGATTGTTGTCTGGCTGTCTTGTTCCCCTCACTGTTTCTTTTTCTCTTAGGCTAGGTCTACACTACAGCGGGGTTCCGACCTAAGATACGCAACTTCTTCAGCTACGTGAATACCGTAGCTGAAGTTGCGTATTTTAGGTCGGCTTACCCGGTGGTGAGGACGGGGGAAAGCCGACCGCTGCCTCCGACTCCGCTGCCGCCTCTTGTCGAGGTGGATTTCCGGAGTCGACGGCAGAGCGATCAGGGATCGATTTTACCGCGTCCTCACGAGACGCGGTAAGTCGATCCCCGATAAACCGATTGCTACCCGCCGGATCGGCGGGTAGTGAAGACGTAGCCTTGGTATACCTGAAGAGAAACAGCCCGGCAGCTTTAAGAAATTCCTCCAGGTGTGGCCATAAAATGTTCATTATGGATAAACATGATTGCTATCTTCAACGCCCGGCAAATACATGGCAAGCAGACAGGTCTTAGGGAGATCGCTTGAACATCCCTGCTCTGCACTCTTCCAACAGAAATCTCTCTGGATGGCCTTGGAGAGCAAATCTTCCACGGCAATGGAGGAGAGTTCCTCATCTTACTACAAAGAGGCTGTGTCAATGCTAGTTGATTCAGTGTAGTTTTAATGGGATTTCCCAAAGCTATGTGTTTTGGAACTATCAGAGGTCAGCACTATCTCAGTCATTAAAGCCAGTGGGATTCAATGATGCCATTGGCACAACTCTTTGGTTTTGCTTAGTATAGATTCAGAGGACAAGATTCAATCCAAACCTCCCTCTAAGTGCAGGCTGAAAAGATCCTACAACTTGACCCTTCTGACCCTGTTTCATCTTCTCACGCTCCTGTTCAAAGCAGCCTAATGCCAATAGTAGTTCCATCCACAACAGTTGTGGCAGCAATAAGTCCAGTCACTGGATCATTAAACATTATTATATTATTCTCATTTATATCCTTAAAGCCAGAATGTCATTTAATTTGCAGATGGACATGCCATGCTCTCTTTGAGGCATGAACTGTCACTTTGCTATGTTTATACAGTGCCTCGCCCAATGGGGATGGGACTCCTCTGTGCAATAGCAATATAGATAATATTATTCCTGGGGGGCATTCTGCGCACAGTATTTTAAAATTCTGCAAATTTTATTTGTCAAAATAACACTACATAATCACACTAGTTTCAATTATTTTGGCAATTTATTTCAAAACCTGTCAGCAAGTATGTCTGTAACAATACAGACACACAAAAATCCCCCCAGGGAGTAGAGAGTTAAAGAAACCCCTATGACAATCCAGTTTCTGTTTCTCTGCCCCTTATCCCTCCCCCCCAGCCCAGCTGCAGTAGGTGTGTGCGTGCCCTGAGCACAGTTGCTGGAATTTTTCTCCCCAGCGGTATCAGTTGGATCGGCTCCAGCGCCTTCTGGTGCCATGCTCTCATAGCGCCGTTATAAAGGGCCTTGCTGACTCCACTACCCCTTCAGTTCCTTCTTACCACCCGTGATGGGTGCTGGAACCCTTAATTGCTCAGACAGTTCCATGGCAACAGACGTTTCCTAAGGTTTGTAGTGAACCAAGCTCACTACCAGTTTGTGGTGATTCCATTCGGCCTGTTAGCCGCCCCACAAGTCTTCACCAAATGCATGGCAGTAGTAGCAGCCTTTCTCAGAAGAAAGAAGTCCATGTATTTTCATACCTCGATGACTGGCTAGTCCAGGGCTGATCCAGAGCTCAAGTGGAAGCAAACATCTATCTCATTCAATTGACCTTCAGGACATTAGGTTTTTGTTGAACGTCCAGAAGTCCACCCTTATCCCGATCCAAAGGATGGAGTTCATCAGTGTGGTACTCGACTCTGTGCAAGCAAGAGCTCTACTTCCGGACAATCGGTTTCACTCAGTTACATCCCTGATAAGGTCCCTCCAAGCTCATCTGATCACAACCGTATGAAAATGTCTGAGCCTCCTGGGCTACGTGGCATCATGCACGTACGTAGCGCAACATGCGAGGCTATGTCTCAGACTTTTCCCAGTCTGGCTGGCCATGGTATACTTCCCCTTTTGTCATCACCTGGACTCGGTGCTTACGGTACCTACCCAGGTCCTCAGCTCACTGTCATGGTGGCAGAACACACGGTATGTGCAAGGGTACCCTTCTCAAGACTTTAACTGTTGTCCCTAGTGTCCGATACATCAGCCCTTGGCTGGGGAGTCCACCTAAGGTCCCTCAGGACTGAGGGCCTTTGGTCCAAAGATGAGCTTTCCCTCCACATCAATGTCAGGGAGCTCGGTGGGGGGGAGGGGGCGGGTGTCTAGCCTGCCAGGCATTTTTACCTCACATGACGGGCAAGACTGTTTTGGTTTTCACGGACAATACGACGGCTATATTCTACATAAACAGGCAGGGCGGTGCACGTTGTTCCCCCCTGTGTCAGGAAGCAATCCGCCTGTGGGAATTCTGCATTGCTCAGTCCATCAGCCTGGAGGCATCCTACCTCCCAGGAGCACACAACCAGCTGGGAGATCACCTCAGCAGGTTTTTCTCCACTCACCACGAGTGGTCTCTCCAGCCAGACATTGTGAGGGACATCTTCCAATGGGGGGGCACTCCCCTTAGAGACTTGTTTGCCATCTGCAAAAACAGGAAATGCCACCAGGTTTGCTTCCTGCAAGGTCACAGCCTGGGGTCTTTCATGGACATGTTCCTGTGGACAAGACACCTGTATTACTCATTTCCCCCATCCCACTGATCCACGAGGTTCTGATGAGGATCAAGCAGGACCGAGTGCAGATCATTCTCATAGCTCTGGTGTGGCCCAGACAGCATTGGTTCACCAACCCGTGAGCCCTGTGAGTGGAGGCATCACTAAGGCTTCCACTATACCCAGACCTGATCTCCCGGGACCATCATTGGCTACTCCACCTGAACATCAGCTCTCTTTATCTGACGGCTTGGAAGCTCCATGGCTGAATCCGGAGGAGCGGGCTTGCTCGGAGCAGGTCTGCGAGGTCCTACTGGGCATTAAAAAGCCCTCCACCAGGGCTACTTACCATGCAAAAATTGAAACGGTCTCCATCTTGTGCTCCCAAAAATTCCACCTTTGAGTCATCTCTACAGCTCATCTTAGGGCTTGTCTACACTTACATTTTATAGTGCTCTAACTTGCTGGCTCAGGGGGGTGAAAAATCACCCCCTTGCGCTCAGACTTGCTGCGCTCTTTAAAGCACTAGTGTAAACGGGCTCCGAGCACTGGGAGCCAATCCCCTTGTGGAGGTGGATTACCAGGAGTGCTGGGAGAGCTCGACCACACTTGCACTTCAAAGCGCTGCCGCGGGAGTGTTCCCGTGACAGCGCTTTGAAGTTGCCAGGGTAGCCATGTCCTTAGAATACCTTTTACAGCTGAAACAACAAGGTCTAGCTCTCTTGCCAGTCAAGGTTCACCTAGTGGCTATCTCTGCCTTCCATCTCAAGGTGGACAGCCAATCTGTCTTTTCATACGAGATGGGGAGCCGTTTTCTCAAAGGCCTGGAGAGGGTGTTTCCCCCAGGTTAGAGATCCCATCCTTCCCTGGGACCTGAACCTTGTCCTATCAAATCTTATTGGGTCCCCGTTTGAGCTACTAGCAATGTGTTTGTTGTTACACCTTTCCTGGAAAGTGGCCTTCCTGGTGGATATCACTTCGGCCAGAAGAGTTTCAGCGATCCGGGCCCTCACATCGGAGCCCCAGTATATGGGCTTCTTCAAGGACAGAGTCTAGTTGTGACCACACCCGTTGTTCCTTCCTAAGGTGATCTCACAATTCCATTGCAGTCAAGCAATCTTCCTACCGGTTTTCTACCCTAACCCACATGCGAATAGAGAAGAACAGCACCCCCACATGTTGGATGTTAGGCGGGCCCTGGCTTTCTGTATACAAAGGACCAAACCATTCAACAGATCTACTCAGCTGTTCATAGCGATAGCGGAAAGGATGAAGGGTCTCCCCATTTGTGCACAGAGAATCTCATAGTGGATTTATGTTATGTTCTAACACATTGAAACGAATCCAAGTATCTGCCCATGGCATCAGCAAGGTGCTAGTGACGTGACTATTTTTCATTTTTAACTACCTAAAGTCCAGTTTGTTTCCCAGGGGTAATGGGTGTCTAACTACACATCTCATGTCAAAGACTTCATTTCACTGCACAAGATCCAGGACATTGTGGACCAGATTTTCAAAGTTAGGCATAGAAAATTGTTTGCCTATATTTGCACCTGCATAATGTGTTCAAATACCCTGTCAATGATAGCAAATCGAGCGGTAGTAATATTATTTTTATTTATTATATCAGATTTTCATGCACGTAAGATATTTGCCTGCCTGTGTTAGGTGTGCACAAATGCACGTGCACAGTTGCACTCCTTGAACTCTCTAGTCCACAGTGTCTGGCAGAAAGGATGTGCCAGAATCAGCAGGTTTCAATGAGGATCATTAATACTTGTTATTAACACAATGAAGGAGTCCTGAGGAGTGTAACAGGTATATCTCCCCTTAAATCCGGGAACCTGAGGTCTCAGTGGTCTCAAACTAAATGGATAGTTGGGCTGAGATTTTCAAAATGTTTAAACACCTAAATAAGCATTCTGATTTTCCA